TTGTCTTTCTTTTTCTTTTGAGACAGGGTCTGACTGTTTAGCACAGGTTGGCCTTGACATCCTGGCAATCCTCCTGCCTCAGGCTCCCAAGTGCTAGGATCACAGGCCTGCACCACAACGCCTGGCTTGTCCCCCAATTTCTTTTATGCCCTTAGATCCAGCTAATTTGCTTGGAGGGACTCAAGGCAGGGACATGGCTGGAAAGCAGTGTGCATTGTGGTTTAAGGGTTTTGGTTCGAGAGAGAGAGGTCCCCCTCAAACTAGGCCCCACACTATGGCTGGGGACAGCCCCCAGGTGCCAGCATTTGTCCAACAGGAGGAGGGGGTCTGGGATGCGGAGGTTGGCCGTTTGCTTAGCTGAGTGAGGTCTGGGAAGGACACTGGGGGTGGTGGACCAGGCGTGGGGGGTGGATAATGCCTGTTCTGTGGGGTCTGTGCAGCCCCTGGGCAGAATCAGGAGAAGGAAGCCCACTAAGGCCCTGCCATTTAGGCAAACAAACAAAACCTCTGACATTGGTCAACAGAGCAGTCTAAGCACAAAGGGGAAAATATGTCTCCGTGCCTGCTACACTGGAAAGGGAAGTGGGGTCCCAGGCAGACGAAGGTACTGCTGGAGTGGCAGGGGAGGGTCTCCTGCCGGACGGAGGAGAGCTGATCCAGCCCGCTGTGCCGCCTCCTGGCGGGGCTGTGCCTTCTCTGGGCCTGTGTACACTTTACGATCAAGTGTGCTGCTTGGGGTTACAAGTGCGATAGGCATCTCCTGCATTCTGCACATGCATCTCATGGACCCAGGAAGGAAGCGGAGACGGGAATCATCACTCAGTGGAGGTCTGACTTAATTTCCTCTTGTTGCTGGGCAGGCCCGGCCACTGGGGGACGCTGTTTGGGGCACGTCCCTCCCCAGGCAGCTCTGCCCACCTCCCGGCCCCTCTGGAGAGGCCCTTGCTTCCCTCCCCAGGAAGTGGCCTCTGAACACCTGGGCATGAGCTTATGGGGCTTTTGTTGGCTCTGTCTTCACTTGAAGAGGTAGCAGTTGGGGGCTTCTCTGGGAGAGGTCTGCGGGCTGGAGTCCGCCCCGTGTGTGCCGGGAGGTCTCCCGAGGCCTGGCCCCACAGGGCTGAGGAAGCTGCATCCGGCTGCCCGGGCCTACCCTTATCTCCTGCTGCCCAGAGCTGGACTCCACAGTCCTGGCTGGCTTCCTGCCACGGAGACAGGATTGTGCAGAGAGCCAAACCCACTCCTTTCTCAAGCTGTGCAGAGCTGGAGGGACTCAGCTGGCTCCAGAGGGGCAGGGAGGTCTCTGACGTGGGGGCTTATTCAGTTTCTAGTAAGTAGCAGTGCAGGGTAGGGCGGGACCAGAAAGGGAGGCCAAGGGCAGAGGGGAGAGACGGAGAGCAACGGAGAGCTTCTGGGGAGGAGACGGGCCTCGGCTGATAATAAAAATACCCTGGTCTATAAATGCGAGGATCCATTTGTATCTCTCAAGTCCTAGCTTTTCTTATTTATATGGAAATATGGCGGGAGCTGTGTTAGTTCAGAGATGTATGGCTGGGGCTGCACAGTAAATACATTTCAATTCAACTGCCAACAAGAGCGGGAAGGGACTCGGGGGAACTGTCGCTCGCTCTGCTGACAGTCGGGGCCGGCAGTGGCCCCGAGCAGCCTGTCCCTTGGGCTGGGCCGTCCCCTAGCCTGCTCCCTCCTGTGTCCACCGTCTGGGGTGTCTGTGGGGCGGAAGTGTGCGTGACACCACCGAAGTGCCTCGGAAAGGGGTGGGGTGCTGTCTCCCAGGTCTCAGGGGGGCCCAAGCCGCTCCTGAGTCCCAGAAGCTGGGGGAGATTCGCTGCTCTGGTCCACAGTGAAGAGAGGCCTTAAAAGAAACCAGCCGAGGAGGCTCTGTCTGCTTCAGCAGGGCCAGCGTGAGATTTCTGCTCACACGGCCATGTGTGGGCCACTTCGTCCGTTGACATTTTACAGGAGCTGCCCTAACCCTCCCTAGGAAGGCCATTTACAGCCCCAGCAAGAATTCGCGGGTTTCTCGCTTCTGCCAAACCATCCAGTTCAGTATCTTTCCTCAGTCCCCCTGCACTGCCGAGGGAGAGGACACCCCGCTGCCCTCAGCCCCTGCCCAAGCGGACTGTGAGTCAGCTGCCCGCACCGAGCTGGCTGTCAGGGGAGCTTCCGCCCACTGCCTGGCACAGCAAGCAGATGCAGCCTCCCTCTGCCTCCGCCCCAGGAGGAGCCTGGGTGGCCCCTGCAGTGGGAGCTTCCTCGCCCTTGGACCCCCTCCACCCAACTCTGCTGCCCCGCCTGGGGGTCAGCAAAGCAAATCAGCACTTCCCCTGAGGATGCGGCAGCTGGCTTCTCCGGGGTGATCCTTTCCCGTTATCCTAGTCTCTAGAAGCGGTTAGGAAAGATGTGGAAACAGGAATAGGGGTGAGGGGGCCTCAGAACACAGGGGTGACTGAGGCCAGGTGAAGGAAAGTGACCTGTCCCTGCTTGGTCAGTGGCCGTGGAGGCCTGGAATCCCCATCCCTGGCCTGTGCCGTGCTGGTGGCTGTGGTCCCGAAGCTCGAGGCCAGTCCTGGCTCCTCTGGCTTTGCAGCCTGGGTGGTGGAGCTGGGAGCAGCAGTAACTGCCAGGACAGGTGCGGTGAGAGGAGGCCAGGGAGGCTGGGGCTGGGCGAGGGCAGAGGGCAGCAGGCAGGGACCCAGCCCTGGGCCTCTGGGGAATCTGCCCACCCTGGAAGCCAGGGTGTGGGCTCAGCAGCTCTGGGTGCTCTCAGGCCCAGATTCTAGGGAGTCTCAGCCGCGGCCTTGCTTACTGTCTTTCATCCTGTTCCCCTGAGGAAGGGGCCAATGCAGCCTGAGCCATCGGCCGTGGCCCACTGGGGCTGCCCAGGGAGGCTGAGCAGGCTGTGTACTGCACAAGTCCACAATGCCCACCAGGCGGCCATGAAATATAGGTGGTGCCCCTGGCGATCCCAGGATACCGGATGTCTTCCTGCCCGTCAAGCTGAAATGATGGTCACCGCCTCTTCTCTCGCTCTGTGCCCAAGGGGGAATGGTCTGCCAGGCGTTGAAGATGGGCTGGGCTGGGGTCTCAGAGAGAGCGTCAGGTCACCCCACCTCTGTGAGGGTGAGAAAGGAGGGCGCTATTTATGTCTCCTCCGACCCCAACCCACTGATTCACTGGTGGGTGAACGGACAGAGTGCGAGGGAGCGGAGGGAGGCCCAAGCTTGCCGTACTGAAGGCTCTCGTGAAGTTTCTCCTGACATGTTTGAGCAATCGCCTCAGCTTCCCGAGAGGGAAGGGGAGGAAGGTCATCGCTGTCCCTGCTCCTGGCCATGGTGGGGTCAGTGTTTCCCTTCCTTCCGGTGCCAACCCCTGTGGGGGACTTCATGGGCAGCTCCCTCCTCCTGCCCTTCTGTCCTCACTGCTGTGGGCTGATGCCCAGAGGCAGGGCAGGCACCCTGAGGCCGGTGAGAGCCACCCGCCGGGCGGTGTCGCGCATCAGCCCATGAAGACAGGGAGAAGGGCAGCGTCACAGCAGCCCCAGCGACACAGAGGCCCTCTCGCTTCCCCTCCTGCTGGCTCATTGCCTCTTGTCCCCTCTCTCCTTCCTGTCTTCTCAGTGGCCGGCCACACGCTTTCTGCCACCACTGCCAGGTGTGGTGACTTTCGGCTGCAGACTGGGGACACTGAGGCCACGGGCAGCGCGATGACTTCCACACAATGCTACCCGGGGTTCGAGGGCGGAGACGGCCTGTGCGGGGGGGCCCCTTCCCCAGCGCGGCCTGCTGGGTGTCCCAGCCTTTTCTTTCCTGAGCAGAGGCTGCTGTGGCCGCGTATACCCCAGCCCCGAGGACCCCGTGCCACCAACAGCACCTGGTGCTGCAGTGTCCAGGAGCCCCCTTGGCGGGTAGGAAGTGGCAGAACATGACAGCCTGGGAAGAGGCTTTGCCCGGTGACTGGGGGGCATGGCACATAAATACCCTCGACCCCTACCCCGGCCAGGCCAGGGTGATTCTGAGGCCAGCCTGGCACCGAGCAAGGCCTCCCCTGCCCCCTCTCTGCCCCACTCCTCTACTGCAGCTTGTGGGCTGCACCCAAGGGCCGTTTAAAACCTCCAGAGGACAAAATGAAGATGGAAGGCGAGAAGCTGGGCGGGGTGTCGCACGCCTGTGATCCCAGCACTCTGGGAGGCTGAGGCAGGAGGATGACAAGATGGAGCCCACTCAGGGCAATTTAGCGAGACTCCTGGATTGCAAATAAAAAATTAAATAAAGGGCTGGGGATGTAGGTCTGTGTGAAGGGGTCTTGGGTCAATCCCCAGTACTGCCCCCACCTCCAAAGAAGAAGGCAAGTAAGGGTCCGGGATGGGGTTGCAAGTGTGAGACTCAGGGTAGGGTAAGTTCATGCTGTTTATTTTTCTTTTTTATAGTGGGAGCCCAGAGCCGAGCAGGGGAAGTGGGTCAAGGGGAAGACAGCCAAGGTCCTTAGAGCAGAGCACCCTGAGATGCATCAGAACTGTGTGGGCAGCAAAGGAAGCACAGATCCCAGAGCCCCGTGCAGGTCTAGGCTGGCTGGGAGCTTCCAAGCCGGTGGGCAACACACCACACTTGTAGAAAACCCGCGTGGGGTGGGGTCTCCGGGGCTCCTTCTCTTTCTTCTCCTACTCCTGGGGATTGCTGGGGCCCTGGACATCTCGGAGCTTACATCTAAAGCTCTATTTACAGTCCACAAAACTGAGGCCCTGAGGGTAACAGAAGGTAGGGAGGAGGCTGGCTTCCCACCTGGCCAAGGGGCACAGGGGGCTCCTGGCCCTTGGGGCGATGGTTGGGCCGGGCCCGCTCTTCTGACTCCTTCTCTGTGCTGGCCAAGGAAGATGGGAGTGGGGCTGGGCTCATCAGGTGGCTTCAGGTGGCTTCCGGGCTGCCGGCCACACCTGATGGTGCCCACGCTCTGCCCGCAGTGCTGGGTGGCGCCGAGTCCCGTGGCGTCCTTCGCAAGATGAGCGACCTGCTGGAGCTGATGGTGAAGCGCGTGGACATGCTGGCTCGGCTGGAGAACAGCAGCGAGCTGCACCGGGCGGCTGGTGACACGCGCCTCGCGGCAGACAGG